TCATTTTTGGACTTTTTACTCCCAGTTGCCATAGTAGCGATCACTGTAGCAATATTTGTTACTTTGGTATTATTGGCATCCTGCCCATGAAGGGCAGTTATTTGGTACTGGTCTGTCTGACAAGTATTTATCAACCTCTCTGGTTATTTTCCCGGCTGTTCTTTCTTTGCCTCTTTGACATGCAAGCCTCACAAAAGGCGTCAAGAACAGCATTGATGTTTCTTAGCTTTGACCTCTCTGAGCATAGTGGCCTGATGTACCTGGGTGGTGGATCATTGGCCCTCTCTTCATTGTCTTCACTCTCCTCCAACTCTCTGTTGACGAACACCTCCATTAGACAGACACCTCTCTAAGACAGTCACCTGTTGTTGGTCCCTGCCGTTTTTCAGTCATTTTACTGTAACTACACGCTCTAATATATAGATTTACCCAGTGCTAAAGAGAAGCTCTGGTTAATATCAATATTTATAAACAAAAAATTAAACCGTGAAATGTTAAACGGAGACGGCAATGAAAAAGGGATCAAGATCAATAGATGTAATTAGCAAAAAAACAAATTGCGTGTGCAGCGCACTTTTTTTTCTTATTAACAAAAAACAAATTTGCACTTGCCAATATTTTGTTTCCTCTGTTCATGTTCCCTTTTATTTTTCACTGGCCCTTATTTACATCCTGCTGGCCGCTAGCATTTCTCATTTTCTCACCGCCGCTTTGAATTTACATGTTTTTCTTCCAACGGATTTCGTCTCCTTTGTTTATTATCACTCACTCTAGCTCTTTCTTTGTTATCCACTTGAGTGTAAACATCAAAAATAACGTCGAAGAAGACACGACTTTGTTGTTGTTTTTTTCTTTCTAAAAGTCCGCGCGGCCATGCGATTTCCTTCCAAATAAAACCATGAGCTGCATTTGGGTTGCTATACCTGTCGATTGGGTTATTTTACATTGGTATGCCTGTGGTGCGGAGGGGCCGTTGCTCAGGAGGGCGGGCGGGCGTACTGTCACGTGACCACCAAAATTTCTCGGATGCATAGGTTACTAAATTTTCTTCCCCATGGTGCTCCGCTTCGCGCGCTGAGCTCCGTTATAAGACAGAGACCTCTCTAGAACAGACAATGGACCCTCTTGAAACCGTCAACAGACACTTGAGAAGTGCTTTATGCAGTAAAAATACCTTAAAACGGGAAATGTAGGTGCTCTGCATGACAGTAACTTGCTAGAGTTTTAATATTTTGTAGTCCGTTTCCAGTTCCCTCATAGGGTCAGCTGTAGAGTGCATGCTGCTGCGCTTTTAGACCGCTAAGTCGTGAACGTTTGCTTGTAATGAACGTTTGATTTTATAATAAGAAAATGATTTCACATTTGTGCTACAATATTCTAGTTTTAGCTGTTTTGCACAAGTTAAACAGACGTGAATTCATTGCGAAAGGGTTCAGCCTATATATGCTTATACTGGTGTCAAGTTACCTCGACCCTCTGTAAGCCGGACATCCTTCTAAGAAAGACAGTCGTGGCCGGTCCCGAAGGTCTCCATCAAAGGGAAAGTTGACTGTAATTACGTTCACTGTTTTTAGTGAAACAAAAGTGTCATCTGAAAAGAGCAATGTTTCGAGACTTTTCGGACTTGTCACAAAGTTAAGTGGCTTTAAGAACCATTATTATCTTTCACTGGCTGGTTTCATTTGTTCTGTTTAAGTGGCCGATTACCATTTAGAAATATATAATCCTGCAAAAATAAGCCGGGACTCAACAAAGATGACGTACTGGCGCGGAGCGTCACCTGGCAGTGGTAAGTGCGCATGCGGGATGACCAACTCACGTGCAGACTCCAGTAAGGTTTGTAACTTTGATAAGAGTGACAATGTATTGCGTGAGGACAACAGAGGTCTTCTCACTGATAAGACAAAGCTTCCAGTAAAACAACTCAGGTTTGGGGATACTAGCGATAGACGTACGTGAACAAGGTTATCACACCCTGGGGAAACTGAAATGCTTTGGTAATGAATGAACTGTGACTCAATTGTTAAAAAAAATACCTTTTACTTATAGGGAGACCTAGAATTACGTGTACGTAGACTTGTGGCACGTGACCAAGTTTCTCCTTTACTTGTCGTTGACTGTTGACAGCATCAAGGAAATCAATAGTTTCATGCCTATTATATCCATAAGAGTTGGTTTGAATCTGACGTTTACCATTTAAAGTAAACGTTACTCTAAATCTCTCTGAAACTGAGACTTGAAAGTAACGATAATATTTCAAATGGGGGTTAGTCACAGCTTGTAATTTATGTCGGTCGGTTTTGTTCCAATGATGAACAAACAGCAGAATTTATTAATAAAGCAAGCCTGATTATACAGCTTAGCTAATGTATACTTGCTTTCCTTTTCAACAATCTGATGTTTGCTGCATTACCGGCTATATTATCAATTCCATTAATTATATCACTTACCGTCAATGAATAGCTTTTCTATCCATATCAATTCAGGGGCGATCTTATGACACGTTTATACTTCCGCTACTCCTTGAGCTAAAGAAACATCCCGTCGGATAATTTCGACCTCTTTCTTTATCACTTACAACTAGTGCGCATTTTGGGACAGAAATTCCAACACGTTTCAGCGCTTTAACATCCGCTGGTGCTATTGCTAAAAACACCTTAATCGTGAGTCCTCAGTCCAGTTTTCTTAGACAAAGAAGTTTTACTTCACGCCACCAGAGCTAAATTGAGCTACATTTCAACGTTGTCTCTTAAACTGATCAAAAATGAAACAACCGAGTGAGGACAACAAGCAGAAAAAGAGAAGAAAAACACTCCACAGCTTGTGTTCCGTTTCAGCTTTGCTGTTGTCTGTTGTGTGTTGTATGGCACTAATTCACGTGGAACTCCGAATACAAGAACATCACCGACTGATATCACACTCAGTAACAGTCTGTGATTAAATGGAAACGCAGATTCTTCGCAAAGTTAAAGCAGAATTACGAACGATGGCAGGTCAGGAAAGTTGATAATTTTAAAGATCATTGGCAAGAATCAAATGGTGAGGATAAATTAGAAAACAACCTAAGATTTTCATTACTTCCGATTTACATCCCCAGGGGGGAAGGGGTACTCTGTATAATGGCCTATACAGGGACGGTTCTGCCCGAAAAAGGTACCTTTATCAGTCTTCAGAGTAGGGGTTTCACTAGTTGAAGTATATAAAAGGGTAGGGAAATCTGTCATTTAATTTATTTGGTCTGTAAAAAGACCTGAAAGGGTTAACAGAGGGATTTTAAGCCTCTGTGAAAATGTCCAGAAATTTTCCTGGTTTTGTGATTCAATCATATTTTAATTAAGACAACACACTTACAGTAGTTAAAAGGGATGCAAAGTTCTAAATTAGGTATGTGAAAGGAGTACCACATAAAGGGGTAATGGGTTTGACCTCGGAGAGAAGCCCCCCCCCCCCCCCCCCCCCCCCCCCCCAAACCTTTTTTGATAACCCCCGGGGTGCCCCCCTAACCCAAAGTTAACAAGTTATTTACAATCAATGTTGTTATACCTTGTATGAAAAAAAACCAAAAAAATAAAACAAACCAACAAACAAAAAGAAAAAACACAAATAAACAAACGTATGGGTAATGGGTTTGGACTCGGATGGAAGACCCCCCCCCCCCCCCCCAACCCCGGGATAAAACTGTGTAAAATACCTCCGAGGTTACATCATAAACCTAGTGTAATCAGTTAGTACCTATGAAGTTCGAATAACCATGTAGGTAAAAAAACCATAAAGATTCAGCAATTCATCGAGGAACAAGGTCAACATCAGTTTAATCAAGAGTATGTGCAACATGTGTTAGAACATCGCGGTGTTAAAAATTTTGAAAGTCAACTCTACTTCTGGATGCAAATGAAGAAGGCGAGAGGCCGAAAAGCTGAATGAAGCAACTACTGATTCTCTACGTCTGTCCATTTTTTAAACTTAAGAACTTTTCATGTTCACACATTTTCATTTTCAAGTTTGCAAGTTTTACCTTTTTTCTCAGATAAATTATAATGTTTTTAATTAGGTCTTGGCCAATATAACAACGGCAATTCAAGAGTGAAGCGAACATTACCAGATGATTCACCAACAAAATCCGTTCAAACTGCATCCCAAGTAAAGCTGCTAAACAAACAAGAGCTTCGTCTATTGCAAAACAAATTCTGCGCAAAAGATCAAACGCTTTGCCGCTTAGGTCCAAGAGGTAAAACAGGGCGACGGGGAAGACCCGGATCGCAAGGGAGACCAGGCCCCCCAGGGAAGCCCGGGCCAGAAGGCCCTCCTGGTAAACATGGGCCAGTAGGACCTCCAGGATCCATCGGCATTAAAGGGGATCTCGGAGTACCGGGGGTTCCTGGTCCCATGGGTCCTAGAGGCCCACCAGGTGAAAAGGGAACCAAGGGTGAGCCGGGCCAGTCCATCACGGCTCCTTCTCTACTGCAGAGTCCTGTTGAAACAACTGTCAATCAAAGTCAGACGGCCATCTTGAAATGTTCAGCAGATGGTAATCCAACTCCACAGATCACGTGGTCTAAGATGAACTCGCGACTTCCTGTGGGACGTCACAAGGTAACGTCCAGTGGTGCTCTGATTTTGAGGGACGTGAGGCATGGAGACGAGGGAGTTTACAGCTGTGAAGCTAAAAATTTACTGGGGAGCGTTAACGCTTCAGCTACACTCACTGTACAGTGTAAGTCGACCTGGTTAAAGTACACTAAGAATTTTATTAATCGACAATTACCAGCGGAGTCTTGAAATTAAACTTCAAAAAGATAGTTTGGATAGACCGAGATTAAAAAGCTCCATAAACAGAACATTAGAAAAAAATTCGTACATTATGTCATTGGTTACAATTGGATATTAAACTTCAAATCATGGTATTATGGTACAGTTCAGACAGTGTTTAACCGAAAACATGTATTTTGTCGTTCTCAATTTTGCTAAATCTGATCTGTATCTGGATATTGCTTAGTGTCAATTGTACCCGGGAGGGGAGGACTCCGCATATGAAAGGGGTGGGGATGCTCGTCGTCTCGCTAAGGGGTGTAAATTTCGGATTTTAGTCTCATTTAGGCTGTTGTGGGCAAAACGCCATCATATTTAGCCGTGAAGGTCTCGTTTATGGTTGCACGCCAAAAAATATAAAAATACGTATTTGATATGTGTATTTTTAATTCGTTTTATTTACTCCATTCATACAATCCAAGTTTTCTCATTTGTCTGTGTTTTAACTTGGTCATCGGTCTCCTTTAGGGGTTTAATTCAAAATTTCCGACGAGCATCCCCACCCCTTTCATATGCGGACTCCCCCCCGGGAATTGTATCGAGAAGGGCAACAACGAAGGCTACCAAACCATTTATCTCCTTAAAATAAGCCACTTGTAAACACATTTTGGGGGCCACTAGCCTGTTTTTGGCTCCGAGATAGTCGGGTCCGCTGAAATGAGAAAGCGCGAACACGAAAATAAAGCGGGAGGAAACGTGCCTTTTACTTTCGCGTCTTCCCCACTATCTGAGAGCCTAGAACAGACTAGGGACCACTGATTTGTTTGAACTGCACTTTAACTCAGACTTTCTTTAAGAACCGGCCCCGATTTTCTATTTTTCGCCAGTTGGTCCGCAACTTTCATTGTCATCCAATCGACTGATGGCTGAAGAGAAACAAAACGTCACCATCGCCTGCACTGCTACTAGTCAGCCGTCACCTAGGATCACGTGGTCCAAGTCAGTGGGAAGTTTACCTGGAGGCAGAATCAAGATGCAAGGTGGAACCCTGAAAATCTACAGTGTCACAAAAAAGGATGTTGGAATATACATTTGTAAAGCAGAGAATACTCTGGGTTCGGTAACAGACACTGCTCAACTTATTGTATACTCTCCTTTGCGGTTCAAAGTCCTTCCTCCACAACAAGTGACTCCTTACACTGGTTCCACTCTCCGTTTGCCGTGTGTGGCCGAGAGTGAGCTGAGCACTACAATTACTTGGTTAAAGAATGGCGTTGGTGTGCTTCCAGCAAACACACATGTTCTTCAAAGCGGCACTCTAGTTATTGAGAACATCAAGAATTCCCCTGAAGGCTCTTATACCTGTCGAGCGAGTAATGCACTAGCAACAATAGAAGCTATTGTTAAAATCAATGCTCCGATTCCCGCTTCCTGTTCTGAAGTTAAAAAATACATTAGCAGTGTAAGCGGAAATTACGTCATTGATCCTGATGGCGAGGGAGGTCTGGCACCATTCACGGTGTTCTGTGACATGACTGATAAAAGTGGAGTTGGCGTGACAGTCATTAGTCACGACAGTGAGAGTAGAACACATGTCTCTGGATGTGATCCATCAGGGTGTTACTCACGTGACATTCATTACACAGGAGCGAGTCTGTCTCAGCTGGCGCGTCTCACCAAAGTCTCTTCACACTGTGAACAGTTTATCAAGTACGAGTGTTATAATTCAGCGATATTCAGATGGGTGGGAATGGCCTGGTGGGTGTCACGTAGTTCCACAAAGATGACGTACTGGGGTGGAGCGTCACCTGGCAGTAGAAAGTGCGCATGCGGGATGACCAACTCATGTGCGCGCTCCAGTTATGGTTGTAACTGTGATAAGAATGACAATGTCTGGCGTGAGGACAGCGGTCTTCTCACTGATAAGACAAAGCTTCCAGTAAAACAACTCAGGTTTGGTGATGTGAGTAGTCCCGAGGAAGGTTACCACACTCTGGGGAAACTGAAGTGCTTTGGTATTGTATGACGATGCACTTCCTTGTACCACGGGAAACTATATCATTCATCAGTTTAACAAGCAATTTATCTTAAATTGTTAAGTTGTATCATTGAGTAGTAAATTAACAGAGCGAAAGGCTCTATTCTGCAAGTGGGATATTAACGTTATCTGTGACAGCGGCCGATAAAACTGATAGTTTAATGGATGAGAGCGTGAAAATCTTTCCTTCTAGCTGGCAATTTGGCAAATAATGCCCTTGATTAAAGTTCTCTCAAATCACTAGTCGAACTGTTAAGATGTAGATTAAAGCTTTGAAAAGACAGCCTCTTCCTTGCTTATTCCGGTATACAAACTGCTTTTAAAATATCTACTGTTTGGAAGATGCCCATATTTCAAGTAGTCTGAGGAAAACAGGCAGTTTCAAATTTGTAAAACCTTAACGAAGAGAAGAATGACAGAACTTCAAGAACTGGAGGAAGTGTTCTTCTATCTCCCACCTTCCATACCCAGAAGAGCTTGTTCGTTTTACACCCCTACCCGGATCCCCGAGAGATTTTTCACCAAAGAAGATGCGTACCCTGACAGCAAGAGGTAAACCTCGAGGATGAAATCAATAAATTTTCGGTCAAACGAAACAAAAACGCCAACTTAGCTATAAAGCTAAGATAGCCTGACATTGTACATTGGTTTCGTTTCACGACTCCCTGAAATAATCAGTCAAAGAAGAGAAATCGCTTCCCTCGAGCAAGTGCGGAGACAAAGTGAGGCTCGTTCCTCGCGGTATTTATCGAGTTTGGTTCACTTGCGTTAGCAGCCACATTACTACCGAACTAGAAAAAAATCACAATCAATATTAAGTATTCTACTGTGCCTGTGCATTGTTCATGAACTGACCGGCATTATGAGTAACAGATTACCGTATTTCCTTTAATAATAACCGGGGGCGGTTATAAATTGTTTCGCGCCAAAAGGGGGCGATTATTCGAGGGAAGGCGATTGTTTCAAATGCATGTATTGCCCACTGGAAGTCGTGCACTGAATATTTTGCTTTATAATCCCGTTACTTATCAAAAATAATCAGATCAAATAAACTTAACATGGGCTTTTTAAGTGTTTCAAATTTATTTCCCTGTTTAATCATCAATTTTAATATCATCGGTGTCAGATGAGTAGAGTCCTTACTACCAGCTTTGTAAGTATTGAGTTGTAAACAATCAGTAAATAAAAGCTTGTTTCTTGTCATAGGTATCAATTCAACTCGACAGGGAGGGAAGAAGATAGCGAAAGGGTTGGGTGGGGTGATCATACCGTCAACTCTCTGTTGACGAACACCTCCATAAGACAGACACCTCTCTAAGACAGTCACCTGTTGTTGGTCCCTGCCGTTTTTCAGTCATTCCACTGTAACCATACTCTCTAATATATAGATTTACCCAGGGCTAAAAGCGAAGCTCTGGTTAATTATACATACAAACAAAAAAATTAAATCGTTACGGCAATGAAAATGGCAATATGATAAATAGATCTAATTATCAAAAAA